ATATATATATATATATAAAACTTGCATGTGTGTTTGGTTTCCAGGCTCTCATTTCTAAATTTCACACCTGAAGCACAAGCTTTGTGTTTTTCTTCAGTGAAACTTGATGGTGTCTAAATGTTTCTTTAACTCTGACCCGTGTGGAGTCTGGTGTGTTTTCAGAGAATGACTGCAATGAAGGACAGAGAGCAGCCATGTAATTATAATAATATGGGATATCAGAGTGAATCTGTTCAGTAAATCCATGACTGGCTGATAAAAATCTATGAAAGACGGGCCTGTTCCTTCATCTGCTGTGGAGTTCTGGATTAACACAGTAAAGATTAAATCTTATTTGGACTTTTTCTAGTTTGAAATGGACCTTTATTTTTAGCAATCAGACTCATTTGAATTCTATCTTCATGTAAATGTTTTGATGAAACCAGAGTTTTTTCACAATGAACAGGTCTGAACCACCAGCTGTAAAGGAATATATTTGTTTTCTTCTTTTTCTCCTGTTGATGCTTGTATGACAGCCAGATCAGAGAAATTAATTAATGTTTTATCAACCAGGGTGAGTCAGGTCACCTGGAGGGGTTCTGTTTTCCTGGAACCTTTATCTAAACCACTTCTTCGGTGTAAGGAGTTGAACTCAGTCGTATAAGCAGCACCTTTGAAAGTGGATCAACCCATTTGCCAGTGACACCCAACTAGAGCTGCTCGGCATATTGTTTGAGCATCGTCAACACAATGTACGTGTGCACAATAGTCACATTGCAGGTCCTGGGACGTAAAAGCAAATTAAATTAGTGACTAAACCACCAAACCAGAAGTCATTGCACTAAACAGTCGCATGTTATGGCGTTTTATTTTGACGGTTTGCTTCTGCTGACAGGAGAGAGCAACTTCATGTCGAAAAGCTAAAGCTTTCTTTTTGTTGTGAAACTTGTGGYACAATAATAGGAATGTTTTTGGAGAGGTATTGCTCGTGAATTCTCAAGGAGAGAACTGGAGGAATAGAGGTAAAATACGGTTAGCATGAATGCTAATATTAAAGTGTGATGGAAACAGAAACAGAGGCAACACTTTAGGTGGTAAAACACAATTCTGAACAGAGCTTTACATGGTCAGGCTCCCACTTATATATCAGGGCTCATATTCATCAAACTTCTTAGAATTACTCTTAAGAATGCTGCTAAGAGTGGACTTAAGTGTAAAAGAAATTCTTAGTTAAAAGCTGAGAGTAAAAGTCAGTTATCAAACATCTCAGTCTGACTTTAAGTGAAGTGTAGGAGTAATTCTGAAGTGTCAGTCTTAGAGCTGATTTGTGACACKTGGCTGTGCCGCAAAGCTGATCCTGGATGACGTCGTTAGAAAAAACCCCGACATGGACCAATCACTGCCTCGGATTTTATGTTCAAGAATATTGTTGGAGAAATATCAAGATACGACTGTGAAAATGATAAGTTCACTTTCAACACACTAATGTTGTCACCTTGTACTGTCTGTAAATTACATAAAATGTCCTCATTTGCATCATGAAAACAGACGAAAATCTCACAGTTTTTTTAAATCAACAACTCAGCAGCTTTAAAGTTGTTTTATTTCTCAGAACCTGAGATAATGTTGAGCTGCTCCCTTCTCCTCTTCGCCACTGTCTGCAGACAACACCGGCTTTACACTCAGACACACGCACAGACAATGTGCACACAACCCGCTCCATCATTGCCAGCTTGGTTCATGTCTGAGTATCTCTGGCAGTCAAATCACTGTCAGTCTGTTTAAACTTGCCTTTCAGCAGTCTCGTCATCTATTAAAAGYATTCCTTATCACTGCTGTAATTATCTTTGTTACCTAAACTCATCAGGATTTATAATGCATCACTTTTTTTTTTTTTTTTTTTGCAGATTCTGGGATCAGGAAGTCCAGAAAGCTTCTAAAGAGATGCGAACGCCTCAGCTCAGCAGGGTCATCATCAGGTGTTACTGGAAGTCCTATGGAGTTCTGGGAATCTTTACATTCATAGAGGTCAGATCTATCAATATAAAAATTATGATTTAATAATTGCTGCATTAAAGCCTGTCCATCCTTGGTGCTGACAGGGCCTCAGCTCCAGAGGAACCTGCCACAGTTTACTGCTAACTGTAAAACAAATAAAAACAGTGTAGTGGTTATATATATACAGTGAGTTTGTTTACAGTGAAACAGCAGGTGGAACTCAGTTTACCAACCAGCTGATCRGTCTGCTCTGGTTTAAAAACTTTAAATTTGGTTGACATGTTAGTCCAGTTGCTCAGCCTGCAGTTTCTCTGATGATGGATTCACCGTGACGCTCGCTCTTCTTCTCTGCTCATCAGGAGGCCATTAAAGTGGTGCAGCCGGTCATCTTGGGTCAGGTGATCCGCTTCTTCGAGAATTACGACCCGGACGACACGACGGCGTTTTACGAGACGCTGGGCTACGCAGCCGGGATGTCCCTCTGCACCTTCGGCCTGGCAGTGCTCCACCACCTCTACTTTTACCACGTCCAGAGGGCGGGCATGAAGATCAGGGTGGCCATGTGCCACATGATCTACAAGAAGGTCAGCCAGTGACGGAGGATTTATCATCGCTGAAGACGTTGCTTTAGTTTTTTGTTTTTCTTTTTGTAGGCGCTGTGTCTGAGCAGTTCAGCCATGGGAAAGACCACCACAGGTCAGATAGTCAACCTSCTCTCCAACGACGTCAACAGGTTTGACGAGGTACGAGAAAATTCTTTTCACGCTGCGACGTCAGACTAGAGCTAAAAACATGAAGTCTGACTTTACTGTGGATGATCTGTTGAAGAGAAAAGAGTTTTGAAGCTTTGGACTAATTTAAAAGTCTCTGTCAGGTGTTTCAGTCGCTCGTGTTCTGAGTCTTGTTACACCCTGACCGGGTCAGAACCTGCTGGTAAAACCTGAGCTCCTGTAGAGACTTGAGTTTAATCTGACCTCACTGAGGTTTCTGTGGAACAGTCTGAAGAGATGTCTTCTCTGAGGATGAACATCATGTGTTCCTGGTTAGTTTATGCTGGTTCTGGTTTCCTCTCCAGGTCACCATATTTCTGCACTTCCTGTGGGTGGGGCCGCTTCAGGCAGCAGCTGTTGTAGGTCTGCTGTGGGAGGAGATCGGCCCCTCCTGCCTGGCAGGGATGGGGGTTCTCTTGATCCTGATGCCAACACAAACCATGTTTGGACGATTGTTCTCTAAGTTCAGGTAAAACACACACAGATATCCTGAAAAAACCTGGTTAAAACTTTATTTTGTTTTACGTTAATGGGTGTTCTGAACTGTAATTTCATTGTGCTCTGTACAACGGCAATACATTTCTAATCTAATCTTATCTAATTCAGTACAACACACTGTGCTGTAGAAATGCTCTTGCTCAAGCCGATTGTTTCTTCATGCAAAATTGACTTTTTCTAGGATATTTTCACTCTGAAATGGGAGCTTTTTACTCGTCAGTGAACGTCTTTGCTCAGGTGAAGTTTCTTTTAAGTCAGGGGTGGGCAATCCTGGCCCTGGAGGGCCGCAGCCCTACATGTTTTACAT